GTGATTTTTCTCGCTCAGTACATCAGCGACTCTTTTCTAAAGAACTAAAAAGAATTCTTAATATTTGATTAGTTATTCATCGGGCGAATAATGCATATATCTGAACAAAGGAAACGCGTACAATCATTTTTCATATATTTCTTCTCAAGTATGTCGATTATACAGTCATCAAGAGGTAAAGATCAACTTTTATTTGATGGGTTTCAATATCGAAAAGCTAATAACAGCCAAGTAACGTGGCGATGTGTTCGTAATAATTGTGCTGGTCGACTAACTATTCATTTCTATTTTGATGCAGAATTCTTGTCGTAAACATCCGTCTATATATCAATCAATTTATGATCTTAAAACTGAACAACATGCTAATATTATTTTTGCTGAAAAAGCTGAAGCTGGAACTATAAAAATTGTTAAACGTGCTTTATATGAAGAAATAGACGAACAGCTCCAAAATCTAGTTGTTAATTTTAATTTATATCCTCGAAAAGAATATTTCAAGAAAGCCAGAGCTTTATTTAATTTTTAAATTTTTATTAATAAACTTTTCATCTTTATAATGTATAAAAGGCTCAACTGTCGGGAGCTCAACTGTCGGGAGCTCAACTGTCGGTAGGCTCAACTGTCGGTAGGCTCAACTGTCGGGAGCTCAACTGTCGGGAGCTCAACTGTCGGTGGGCTCAGATGTCGGGGCTCAACTGTCGGGGCTCAACTGTCCCAGGCTCAACTGTCGCTGCGCCCGTTAAAATATGAGATCTTTTTTGAAAATTTATGCGTTTCTATCTGTTAACAGCTCGAATTTCGCGCGTGTTTACGCATTCTTTCCTTAACGTTTTTTTGTGTGTTGCATTCATTAGTTATTTTTGTTTTTCCTGAGGCAATTAAAGTTCTTTGAACTATGTATATCAAATGAATGTGCGGTCGATCGATAATATTCATGTGTCGATGACGACTTATTAATCTCAAGATTTAATTTTATATTACTAGTCAGTGATGAAACCAAGTTCACATTAGAAGTCCTTGTTACTGCAGGAATGGTTGATGAACAGTCAATTAGTAAGAGTTTTATTGCCTAGTATATTTATTTTGTTTGACACTTGTTAAAACTTATGATTACCGAAATCATTATCTTCACGATCGAATGAACGTAATAAAACAATCGGTATTATTTTAAACATGTTTCAAAAATGTTTTTCCAGTTATCAGAAATATAGAAACCAACCTGATGCATCTTCTTAATCATTAAAAAATATGTCACAGGTGTTTTTCTTGATTGTTAGTCCGATATTATCAAGAAAACCTTCATGATTTCAATGTACTGAAACATTTGTTAAATCATTTGTATGCGTATTAAGTACACAAGTTTTTATTGGAGAATTTAAAGGTTTAGATTATTTTTTGAACAATATAATTTCTTTTTTTTTCTTTTGGGCATTTATAAATACCCAAAAGATATATAAAATTAGACGCTTGAGAAACGATCAAAGATAGATGTAACACTATATATGTAATTCCTTTATATTATTAAAAGAAAGTCTACAGTTAATATAGAAAATTCTTAGCTACACCTATGAGATGGTCTCATAACAAATAAATTGTACTGAATAATTAAAATCAATTTAGATATAGATATTTGCTTGTTTTATTAGTTACAAGGCCTTTCTACTCATCGAAACGATAAACAAAGTCTTTGTGCTTCTTTCTATATCTGTTAGTTATCATTCTGCTTGACGAAAGATTTTGTTACATATAAAATCCAACAATATTCTGTTTCTTTTCTTTGTTGCAATAATATTATTCTTTCTGCAGCTGAATCTACAACTTTAAGTTATCCGACAGTTTTAACCAATCATATGCAATTTTTTTGCCGTTAGTATAGGAAAATTTTACCGCATATTTTAAAATGGCGTTGTCCATTTAAGCAAATGAAGAAAAATAAAAGTTTACTATAAGAAAAAAAATGTTGCTTATGACTTTGATTTGCCCGACCTCGGTTTACAATCCGTTTAGATTTTGTTGCAATTTTTTTTATAGAATAATATATGTATCGAAATAAAAATTCTCATTTTGAATTGTTTGAAGATTATTTCATCGTCATTTGAGAGAGAATATTTTTTAGTCGATAAAACATGACTTAAATAGTCCACCTGTTTAGGAATGTATTGACGAAATATATTATTCACTCTTTTTTCTGCCGGATTCCAGTTAACATTTAATTGGAAGAAAACATGCACTTCAACATATGTATTCATTCGATTTGATTGAAATTCCGCTGCAAAAATTCTTTCGCTTTACTATTTAATGATTTGAATTTTTTTTTTGGGTTTAAATCAATGATTCTGAACACAGAGTAAAATTATTAAAAGAATATGGCGCCATCTATATCAAGTTTAGCATTTTCGTCAGAAACAATTCTATCAAATTGAAAATCATTTTAAGAGCAAGAAATAGTAAAAACAACAACAGAATAATCCTTGGAGATTTTATTCGGAGATATATTTGAATATGTTAAAGTTTTTTTTCTTCCATTCATCACATCATCGATGATATATATTAATGTGTTTGGTTCTCTATTAGTACATTATTACTGTCAATTATTTCGTCCACTTCGTAGGTAAGTTGAAGTTTAGTAATTCTATTTTGAATTTTAACTCTAATTAAGAAAATAATTCTGACCAGATACAATTAAAAATAACATGTTACCCGTAAAAATGTTCGATTTTTGTGTTTTGGAAAAACAAGCTTTTTAGAAAATAACGAATTTCAGACCAATGGGCTTCGAATACTTACTTTTTACAACAAAGTTATCTTTTGACTGTAAAAAGTGAATATTTTCACGTTAAAGCAGATTCCTGTAATACTTCCTCTTATTAGAAAATGATATCAAAATGCACGACACATTCATATATGATATATGCTTTAAGACAGCGCCCAGTTATTAGATAAAACTCTTATAGTATTTATAATACTTCTATTAATGAAGTTTTCCACTTTAGTGTTGAAGTTTAGCTGTAGATACAATTTTTAATAAAAGGAAAAGTTAAGCAAAAGACGAATATCGGATTTTTCCTTTTCCTAGCTGTTGATAGTACTCGTGTCATTATTAGCTTAACACTAAAAGAGGTCTTGCAATCAAACAAATAGATAGATGGAGAGATAGATATATATCATTGTTAAAAATTCTAAATATAAATTAATATATCAATTATCATTTTATGATCAATTAATAATTGAAATATTTC